CTAAAAATAACAAAAACATATTGCATGGTAATTAAGAAACCCGCAATATATACATTTCATGTCGAGGAGGAAGGACGACCCGCAGGGGGGAAAGTTCTGACCCAAAGTTGCCTTCTTCAAACTTTTGCAAATCAAATAATTTGAGATTAATTTTGAGGTTCGGAGTCACCTGATCGTTTCCCGATGATGGGAGATAATCCGGCAAGATCTGTTTGGCAGACAGGATAGAGATCTTATATCCGGAGGGGGTATAGCTGGAAAAAATGTTTGTTCCCTTCACTCCCCTCTAGTTCTGTCTTATTGGTCCCCAACCCCATCTCTGTAGTAGACCTGGGGGGGGCTAACTATAAAAAAATTTGCAGGACCATTTGGCCTTCAAATATTTGAGACCGTTCACTCCCCGTGGATATATGACAAAACACTTACAGGGTTATTCACAAAGCTGCCGACAGCAGCCGTGTGAATAACCGACCCGAAGTGAGCCCAACTCTGTTTGGCTATTCACTTCAGGCTTGTACAGCTGATTTTCAGCCGTACGTCGGCTTGCTTCGGGTCGGCCGAACATGCTGGGCATCTTCGGCCGACCCGAAGTGCAGAAGGAGTTCGATGTCGGATCGGCTGAGCCGAACCTCCGGCAGGCTACTTGCTGCTGCTCGGCCCTATTCTCAGAGGGGGGCGAACGGCAGTGAGTGAATAGCAGAATGCTGGCGAGCGCCATTCTTGGCTATTCTGCTCGGTACCTCTGTGGTACCGAGCAGAATAGAAAAAGTTTAAAAAGTAGAAAATGATTGGGCGGAGCTAGCAGTGACGGCTAGCTCCGCCCAACTGTTTTCTATTGGCCGGGACCAGCTGTCATTACAATGAGAGCTCGGCAGAGCCGGCTTTGATATCACGGACCGACTCTGCTGAGCTCTCATGACAGTTCAGCGTACTTTGTAACCAGGGGATGCTGATCTGTCATGAGAGCTCAGCAGAGTCGGTCCGTGATATCAAAGCCGGCTCTGCTGAGCTCTCATCGTCAGGGGCCCACACTCGCAGGCAGCCGCACAGCAGACCTAAGGTGCCAGAGGAAGTGGAGAGGAGCCGCTGCTGCTGTCAAGATGGAGCCGGCATCTGAGGGAGCGAAAGAGCCGGCTCCGCAGAGTTCTCATCCTAATGACAGATCGGCGTCCCCTGGTTACCAGGGGACGCTGATCTTGTCATTGCAAGTGGCCGGAGCCAGCCGTGAGATGACGGCTGGCTCCACCCAGCTGTCAGGAGCAGGCTTCTGTCCGGCCCGCTTCGGCTTTCACCTCGGTCCACTCGAGCCGCGGCATATGCCTTCGGCTAGACCAACTTCGGGAGTTGCACGGGCTATAGTGAATAGCCCGTGCAGCAGCCCTTCGGTTCTATTGAACCGCAGGCCTCCCGTAGCCGAAGCTGGATCCTTCAGCAGCTTTGTGAATAGACCCCTTTAGGTTTTTTTTGCAAGTCCGAGTTTTCAAATGTAATATTGCATTATGGCCACTAGATGGAGCTAAGGCAGCATAGGAAATGGGTAAATACTATGCTCAGTGCCATCTAGTGGCCACAATGCAGAATTACAGGGAAATCATTGACTATGCATTGCCTGATAAAGAAACAACCAAAGAACGTTTGTTTTGGCATATATCTGGACAAACTGAACACTCATAAATTATCCTCAGGGCCCTTAAATCTACAAATATCTAAGTAGACCATCAATTTATAAGTAGGCCACCAAGGCGTCCATACATTGCACTGATGATGCCCAACAAGCCTGGAATAGCTGTATGCAGTCTGAAATAAATGGCTCCATGATGTTAGGGGGTTCCTAGTCCGGGAATACTCTCTGACCTTCCATTTATCCCTCTTCTGTCTGCAGTTCCAGTGCTGTGGAGCCAGGAATTACACTGACTGGTTCAGAAATGTCAGTTCTGCGGCGTCCCCCGACTCTGTGCCCCCCAGCTGCTGCAAGACCATACGACCGAAGTGTGGAGAGAATGCGGAGGCGATTTTTTTTTCAATGGGCCCCTAATGCACTTTATCCTTGTTCCCGCGCACCCCGAGGCAACGTGTGTCCTCCTTGTCTTGCAGGGCTGTGTGTTGAAGATGCAGATGTGGATATCGGATCACGTTGAAGTGATTGGCGCGGTGGGAGTTGGACTCGGCTTCTCACAGGTAATGTGCATGCTGCAACTCTGCCATAGAGGAAACGCTTGTCATTTGGGGCCTCCACGTATATACAAGGACCTGTTTTCTCTCTGACCTCCATCCTTCCCCTTCAATCTTCTCTCTGACCTCCGTCCTCTCTCTTCACTCTTCTCTCTGACCTCCGTCCTCTCTCTTCACTCTTTTCTCTCTGACCTCTCTCTTCACTCTTCTCTCTGACCTCTCTCTTCACTCTTCTCTCTGACCTCTCTCTTCACTCTTCTCTCTGACCTCTCTCTTCACTCTTCTCTCTGACCTCTCTCTTCACTCTTCTCTCTGACCTCTCTCTTCACTCTTCTCTCTGACCTCTCTCTTCACTCTTCTCTCTGACCTCTCTCTTCAACGTCTCGCTTCTCTCTGCCCTCTCTCTTCCCTCTTCTCTCTGACCTCTCTCTTCACTCTTCTCTCTGACCTCTCTCTTCACTCTTCTCTCTGACCTCTCTCTTCACTCTTCTCTCTGACCTCCTCTCTTCACTCTTCTCTCTGACCTCCTCTCTTCACTCTGACCTCCTCTCTTCACTCTGACCTCCTCTCTTCACTCTGACCTCCTCTCTTCACTCTTCTCTCTGACCTGCGTCCTCTCCCTTCACTACTGCACAGTTGTACCGGCTCCTCTCCTGGACTGAAATTGACTGAAATTGACTGAATAGAAGACTGAGGGGGAGGGCAGATTTAAGCAATGGATGTAGCCCATGTCTGATCCATCATGTTGGCTTTTGAGTGCAACAAGAGTGACCTATTACACCGATATGATATTTGTGATCATGGGGTCTGTGTGCCGGTGAGCTTTGGGTCGGTGTTGGTGGCCTTGGTGGGTTTTCCATCCCCCATAGACATGAAAGGGAATACAAAAGCTAGTCACCGCCGGCCCATATTCTGCCCCCGAGTCTCCTCCATTGTGTCCCTGTGTGACCCCCCCAGCCTGGTCTTCTCCTCTCTGCAGATCTTCGGGATCCTCTTCTCCTGCCTCCTTGTGAAGATTCTCCAGGAGAACTACGTGTCCATGTGACCGGCGGTGGAAGATCTCCGCTCATTAATATCACTTGTCTGTCCTGTAAATATTTCCTGCACAGATGTTCCTCAGCGGAGGTGATCGTTCCGAGCGGTCGCGTTCCTGGTAATAAACGATTAAACATTCTTGTGTGTCCGGTGATTATTAGATCTAAAATATTTATCTATAAAATGAGCCCAAACGCACCAGATGTGACGCCGACAAGGAGCCATCTTGTATGGCAGGCCAAGTCCATCACCGGGAAGGTTCTGGAAGATATTTCTGCTTCCGTGAAGTCCATGACCGTCCCGACTTTTTCCACCAGCCTGCTGTGCTTATTAATATACAGGATTTATAGAGCGCCAACAGTTTGCGCAGCGCTGTACAATATAAGGTAGACATTACAATTCAAGATGGTAAGGAGGGCCCTGCCCCTGAGGGCTTGCAATCTAAACGGGGAGGGGCCAGTGATACATGAGGAGGGAGCTGTGTGGGGATGAATGTTTGAGTGGTCAGGTTGAGGTGGGATCGGCTTCCCTGAAGAGATGAGTTTTTAGGGATAACCTAAAGGCAGTCAGGTTGGGGTAAAGAGTTCCAGAGGATGGGAGAGAAGGAAAAGAAAGGAGACTGTCTCTCCACCCAAAAACTAATATTTCACATTGCGGAACATGCCGGAAAGTTTAAAGTGACACGAAACTCAGGAACAATCCATCCGAGTCCCTGAACTCTGAGCAACAATGTATCTTATTTGTGTATCACTCGGGTGTCAATCATCTCTAACACTGTCCTTCCTTCTGGAGGGTGGCTACGTCTGTTCCCCATGGTCCCTGTGTGTTGTAGTCACCACTACAAGCTCCGCCCCCCTGGGATGGACTACAATCTCATCTTTAGTTTACTCATTTATATTGAGATTGTAGTCCATCACAGGAGCGAGGTTGGTCCTATTGGGCTGTGACATCACCATCACCATCATGGGACAGACAGGGAAATGGGGGGACGTGAGGCCAAGTTTACATTTTATTGGAAGAGGTGATCTGTATAGAAGTTCAGCATCTGCTGATTTCACCGGAGGTCACCTCTGCTTATGTTTTCATGTGATCAGTATGAGATCCCCGTGTCTGACACCTTCATTCACTATAATCCTAAAAACGGGCAGCACAGTGGTGTAGCACTCGGGGTCCCTGGTTTAAATCCCGGCCAGGTCACTTAGCTGCATGGAGATTGCATGTTCTTCCTGCGTGGGTTTCCTCCGGGTACTCCGGTTTCCTCCCACACTCCAGAGACATGCTGGAAGGTTAATTGGCCCTTGTATGTATGTGAGATGGGGACTGTAGATTGTAAGCTCCTCGAGGACGGGGACTGTGCACTGTGTGAATTGTTGGCACTCTATAAATATCTGTAATAAATAATTGGTAACATTTAACTCCGAGTAAGTCACGCAGAGGTTAGGGGACCCCTGATAGTGATACGTGATAACCCCCCACGTGTTGTAGTTAGGGTTAAAAGGAGAACTCTGGGGTCAGGGCTTTTCCCCATAGTTCTCCTAAGGGTAACGGGAGGACACAAACTAGCATCCTCCCGTCACCCTAAGCTCAGTATATAGCATGCTACAGCTCCCTATATACTGAGACCGCTGCAGCCAGGAAGGATCCTGACATTACTGTCGAGATCCAACCAGCTGCTTGAGTGACAGCTGGCTCTGCCTATCTAGAGGCAGTGTCAGCTGTACCCTCCCCCGTCCGTTCCGCCAGTCAGCGCTGGAGGATCGGACAGGGGAGGGGGTAATCCAGTCCCTCCCCTGTCACGGCTCTCTGCAGGGATAGATTAAGAAGTGAGCGAGCGCCGGTATGTGTTCGCTCACTTCCCGATCTACTGAGCCGACCTGTTAAAGTCTCATTGTGACAAGCCGGCTCAGATTATGAGGCTGAGTGAAAATCACTCCCCTCATAGTTCTTCTTTAAGAGCTAACCAGGGGTTAGGGACCGCTGACCCTCCTTCCTCTCCGGGGGGTATAATGATTCTGATTTATTTTGAGCGGCGGAAATGTGAGATACCATTTTTTAGTATCCAAATGGAAGCACCGTGAAGGACACATAAGAAGCTGAGGCGACCATATCATTATGAGATCTGCCATCCCCTGGAGAGGAACAAACCATTCAGTGCAAGTCTCATCTGTCCACCAATCAGACCATTCACAGCAAGTCCCGCCTCTCCACATTCCCAAAAAAACAAATTTTTATTAAATATTTCATAAAAATACATTTAAAAAGACAAATTTACAGGAACAATGACATTATTTCTTGGCGGCGCTTTGTAAAGTCCTCTGCAATTTAGCGATATTGGCATCCAGAGCAGCCAGACCGGTCCGGAAATCCTGCTCATCGTGGGAGGTGAAAGTGGAGACAGAGGCGATGGACCAATCGGATGTTGCAGACATGACGTCGCGCGCCGATGGGTCATTAAGGCGACTGATCCGCAGGTCCCTCAGATGAGGAGGAAGATGACCCCCGGAGGACACCCTAGTTTTTGGCACATCTGATTCTTGAACCTTGGTGGGCTTATCCGATGTGTCCGCGGCATTGAATGAGCCCCTTTGAATTGTACGGTTCCTCTCAGAAGCGCCAAAGTCATTTATCTGGTCCCCGACGTCTCTCTCTGCACTGCAGAGCTTCGGCGGGGTGCACATCAGTCGGGCAGATGGCGCAAAGTTGGCTTTGTGTGGGCTGCTTGCCAGCGGTAAATAGGTGGTCTCGTCCGGCTTGTACTCATCACCAATCAGGGAACAAGATTCTGTTCTGAGTTTTTGGGGGCTGTGTGAGGGGATGGAGGAGACGGAGGGCTCTGGTCTCTGATAATGAATATGACCTTTGCTCATCATAAAGTCGTCGCTGGGGTCAGAGGTCAGTCCCGTGTGGTAGGCAGGCACAGCGGGATCCGGCTGATCAGCGGCAGTTGGGATCACTTGATCCATCTCTAATCTCTTGAGGTAGCTGATGATGGAGGTGCTGGCCGGACACTGGTCAGTGCGGAGCTGCTTGTCATAGCTGTCCAGTGCGGCCTGGGTCAGCTGACCTCCAGGCCGGGCTCTGGTCTTGTCCTTGCCCAGGTCACATAGAAGTTTGGCCATGCTGGCTTGCAGAGTCCTAGAGTTCAATATAAAAAGACAAAGGGCGAGTGTCGCCTTCATTTCAGAGGGAAATGATTGCTGTGATCACACAATTGGGGGGAAATCCATAAAACACATCTAGCTCTCAGTCGTGCGACAATTGTTCACCCTTGTGATAGATTCCAATATGCAATAACGGTATCAATAAATATGTTATTATACCCAAAACGATCCCAAAAATACATCACTTCCTGTAGAAGCCAAATCCCCTTCCTGTGTATAATAACCTGCTCGTTAGTAACCAAGCTCCATCAGGAACACCTTATTCTGAGCCAAGTGAGTCTGCAGGGAAGCCCCGCCTCCACTACAGTCTCCGAAAATGGTGATTTGGGGGTAATAAGCACAAAGTGCTTACAGGACAAGGTTACCTTTGGTGAAAGTTGTCCTGCAATAAACCCCCGAGCTCAGCCCCACCAGCTTACACACTGGCATACCTCGGTTTCAGTGATCATCACTGCACAGTCTTGCCTCCAAAAACACCCCCATCGAGTCGTCCTTTTATTTATATATATCTGATCCTCACACTGACTAAACAGCAAAACAAAATCTGATTTTATGTGGGAGGGGGGGGTCAATATAAATTGTGTCATACCGTGTGAGTTCTCGCAGTCGCGTGACTTCCGCATCTCTCTGCCGCAGCGTTATCGCCAGAATCTGACTCTCTTTCTCCGCAGACTCCAACTTAAACTGGAGGCTCTTCATGTTCCCCGCCGCGTCTTCTACATATGGAAACACACAGACCATTGTATCACCTCCATACATGAAAACTATTCCTCTGGGAGGCGTTTGTCACTCTATGAGGTGTAGGGGGGACTCAAATCCGGCCCCTGACATCACTAAAGGGCCGCACATAATATTCTGTATATGTAATGCAATGAAACACTGTCAGAGGCTGCAGACCCCAATACATGAAATGACGGTCACACACTGTGGACATGCTACAGGTGTGGCTGGGGATTGGAGAAATGCTGCAAAGCACAGTGAGGTCTTGTTCACACCAAATGCAGAGCAGATCCGGTCAGGTTTCTGCACACGCATGCTAGTCTTTTAGATGCGTTTTTGGCTAAAAATGTTTTATATATATATATATATATTTAAGTTTAACATGGGCTTTCAGTGCGTTCCAGGCATTTGCATGCGTTTTTGATGCGTTTGCAGATCCAGAGCAGATAAAATAAGGCCTGTTGCAGTTTTTTCAACTGCTCTGGAACTGCACGCTGCGATGTCAACTGCAGCAAAAAAAAATCTGGATCATTTGGTGCGAACTGAACAAGGCCTAAAAGGTTAGGCACCAGAGCTCTGGGGAATCTTTGAGAGCCAAACCTGCTGCTTCCAGGCAAACGTACAACAGTCTGATGACGTGAAGGTGAGAAGTCTCCGGATAATACTCACCGGTTCTCACCCTGGAGGATGTGATGTCATTCTGCTGCAAAATCTGAAGGATTTCCTCTTCCTTCTCTTGGATGATCTGGGAAAGGGTTTTGTTCTCCTCTATCTGGGTCTCCATCACCTTCAGAAGCTCCTCCGTCTTCTTCTGCTGGGACTGGAGGCTTTTGTGGGACTCTATCAACTGCTGCTGCAATGTATCATTCATAAACTGGAGGGACGTCACTGCCGAGAAAAACATGAGGGTCAAAGGATTGGTAATAAACCCGACTGACGGGGTAATAAGATGAAATCTTCCCTCGCCCTCGACTGATACAAGGCAGCTCATGTACTCACCTTCAGAGCTCTGCTCGTCCGATCTCCCTGTCCTCTCCCGCTCTCTCAGCTGCTGGTTCAGTATTCGCAATCTCCTGGAAACGGTAAATATTAGATGTGAAAATATGAAATCACATCAGCTTATATTTTGCCTTCCCTGGTCTCTGCACCCCCC